CCCCAAAACCCCAAAACCCCAAAACCCCTTAAATTGAAATAGGCATTATTAATTTGCTTATTAAATTAAAGAAATTCTTTACACGTTTAAGCCCTTTTCTATTAACTTTCTGCTCTCAGCTCTAAATCTAGTCATATCTATACTTCTTTAAGTTGTGGTAAAGGAACCTCCTTTTATTTTTGGAATGACTTAATGAAATTACTTTTAAGAAGGTTGCTCAACTATTTTTATGTTGAGACCTATCAAAGGATCTCCTAGAGTGTTGTAAGAAGCTGGACTTGGAGAATTATTTCTTTCTTTACTCAGCAATCCCCTATCTCTTTATGGAATTTTATAAGCTTTCATTGGGCTTTATCTCATAGTTGAATATATACCAGGGCCTAAGGATTCTTTGTTTTTATGATCAGTTGACCATTCCTTGCAAAATACTTTCTTAGTAATATCAAATCTATCTTATCTTGACTTGATACCATTCAGTAATCTCTTAGAGGATGACTATTTCATCAAATTATGAGGACTCTCATATGCTCCTGGCCCAGGGTTAGGGTTTCTAGGATCTTTACCAAACACACTTCTATATCTTGGTGAATCTCTCAAACTTATATCTCTCGAGTCTAAGGTCAAATTTACCTTTGAATCTTGCTTATTAAATGTATTCAAATCTTGCTAATAAGTGATTGGTAACTTTTACTATTACCTTTAATTTTCAAATTCAAAAAATCTGGGGACAGTTCCAAACTATAAATCACTCTTATTTATTTCATCTCTTAAATGCATTTATCTGATAAACTAAGTGACTTTATAGTAACCTACTCCTGGAGAATCTTTTCCAAGCAAATCTTATTTATGCGAAGGACTAATGATTGCCCTTTTAGAATGTTATATTCCAAATGAGTAGCTTGGTGACTATTTCTTTGACTGAGTTTACTTTCCTATCAAATCTGGAAGTTTATAATCATTTGGACTTGTAGGATTATAATGCTAAAATAATGAACTCTTATGAGATTGATCCCTTAACATTGATCGTGAATTTGAATTAATTAGTACTTCTTTATTTTTTGGAATGCTAATAAGCTGCGAAAGAGATCTATCTTTGTTAGTTTTGAATCTATTAGTGGGAGATATTTCTTATATTGTATGATTTTGATTAAGATGAGCCTTTTTGACAGCCTCAAAACTGTCATAGTAATCATTTAACTCATCATTTTTATATCTCTTTTTCTTTTATTTAACCTTTTTATTTTTTTTCTTAAGACTACTGCCTCCATATATCTCAACATGGTCATATTCTTTGTTTGTTATCGGTTACTCATATTCAGAATTTCTATGAGATCTTATCTTCTTTTTTGGAATTATAACTTCTTGTTCTAATGGACTAGAACCGTTCTAGGGCTATCTCTTTGCAATCATAAACTTTAAAAGTGAAAGTCTCATCTCTTCCTCAGTATAGGGTATTATAGACTTGTCTGCAATATGTGATGCATCAAATTCATAGAAGCTGTCTCCTGCTTTTTTAATCTAAGATTAAATCTATCCTTCTTGCATGTATTGATTCAGATTTTTTCTAATAATTTTATACTATTTTATTTTACTTAATATAAATCCTTTATTAATTAATTATTTTAATACTATGGGGTTTTGGGGTTTTGGGGTTTTGGGG